GTTTGTTTGAAACTAGAATTAAACTGTAGTTCAATTGATGTCTTTGATGTCTCCATTACAAACGTGCACAAATGTTGCAGAATTTTCCTGATTTAAAAAAACATTTTAAAAGTATGCAATTACGCTGTTTCCATTGAATAAGAAACACGACAAAAAAAAAGTCACGTGAATAAGTTTGTTCACACGACACGTCGAAACATGTTTGCAGTAAGCAGATTTATATAACATGCCAGGCCATGAGCCTCTAACTACTTCCTGTCCCGTTCTTCTTCATGGTTTGCATCAGTGGTATCATCCAGTTGTCGATCATGCAACTCATGTACTGAAGAAAATGTTTTTCCCTTGTAGTTCTGTGAAATAAACCAATTTGGATATGGCCAATCCTACCGTCACAACTTTTTCTTCTAATCAAAAATATTTGTTTTTTCTGTTGTTGTTTTTTTCAGAATTGGCAAATTTATTTTCAAAATGTCAAATTGCAGAATTACGTGGTAAATGGAAATGCAGTTACTGTCATGCTTGAAAATCAAGCAGCAGACCACGTTAGCTTTCTGCAGTGGGTAGAGAAAGTGTTGAAATCAGAGTGAGGCAGGCGGAGTCATAAGAAAAACAACAACAAAAAAACCTCGTCATAGATACAAGAATCTCTGTACAAAGAAGTGCAGCCTACCAATATGAATCAGTTGTGGCCTGCAGGGATTTCCATCATCTTTCTCGGAGCTCGATGCGAGGCCAAAGAGGAAGCCTGTGCCGGCTCCCTTTATCTCGCCTCAGATTGGGTGATTAGATCGAATAGCCTGGCAGACGAGGCGCAACTCCTCTCAGCCACACTGCGAGCAAAAGCAATGTTCCACAAGACTACACATTCATTACTCAAAAATAAATCCCCATTAAACAAATGCCTTACGCATAATTAGGCCGAGAGAATAATTATAAACCTGATTAGTTTCTCCAAGGGCAGTCTTATGAAAATTGTGATTGACAACTTAGCAAAGTTGCCTGTGCATCAATCCATCCTCAGAAACGCGGCGAGGCGGACGGTGGGAGAATAGCAAGCAGTCGAACGGAGAGAGGCGACACGGAGATGGATGGCTAAATATTCACTTCACATTTAAACAACAGATAAACGGAGCAACCTCCTCATGAGAAGGGAGGACAAGCTTTTAAATAAATAAATCGTCCGCTGCAACAGTTCACCGATTTCCACATTTTTTGGTATGTGTGCCAAAATGAGCTCACTCAAAGTACATGAAGGCTAAATATATTTTTTAACTTAAAAGCAAAAATTGTTTTGCTGAACAAAGAAGTTGGATTTTTGTTAAAAATTGAACTCATCCATCCGTCCGTCCATCCATCCATCCATCCACCACCCACCCACATTATCCGGGGTCGGGTCACGGAGGCAGCAGCTTCAGAACGGAAGCCCAGATTTCCCTCTCCCTCCTCCGGGGGAATCCAAAGGCGTTCCCAGGCCAGCCGAGAAACATGGTCCCTCCAGTGTGTCCTGGGTCTTCCTTGGTGGTTCTTTCAAACAGGCAGAACTGAGTGAAGCGAAATCTCATTATCTGACAATGGGTTTTTCTTTTGCTTTTTTTATGTAATTAACCTGGGTTGTATAGCCCCAACTTGTTCAAGGAAGCCTTAAACCTAATCTACTAAGATTAGGTTTAAGGGTTCAAGTTAAAAGCCCATTCAAAATAAATATATCTGAAACATTTGATTATTATTTTTCTTTTTGAAGTAGGACAGAATTTCATGACTTTTTGTTTCACTGGGTATCAATAGGAAGTGACACGGGTCCATTTTTTCTTGTCGCCCCTGGCTACCAGGCTGGAACCGAAGGAAACTTATTTATCTTACACACACACTTACAGTGAAAAAGCTTGAGAGGAAAATAAAAACATCCACAGCTCACTGGAGTGTAGCATTTTGGGGTTCACTGGATTGCCTTTAAAAATTTCAGGAGCTTTTTGAGACTACTAAGTCCTAAAGTTAGGCCCAAAATATTCATACTTTCAGGCAAATTCAGATTCGAATCGTTTCGACTGAAACAAAATGCTTATTTCAGATATGAAATGAAAGGCACGTGTCAAAAAATGATGAAGTGCAAAAGCTTACCTTTCTTTGTGCTTCTTATAGAGTGACAATAAAAGTTGGACATAGTCCCCACCGTCTCTGGAAGCTTTCTTCTGGATGTTTTACAAATATAATCTTTTTGACTTACGATTGTGTTATTAAAACATTTGGAGACATCGCACAGTCCCTTGTTCTACGCTTTGCTCTGTCCAGAGGGTCTAGAATCTCAGCTATTAAGAAACAATTACTTCCTGGAGGCGTGGCTTCTGTTGAATTTGAATTGAATTGAATTTGACCCAATCACTAACATTTGGCCGTGAAGTTTGTAAAGCGCCAGTTTGATGCTTTGTAGCTTATCCAAACAGCCATACAACTACAAACAGCCATCCGTCACTGAGAATAGAGAACTGCTGAGTCAAACAAGATGGCTGTTAATGTTAATTCAATATTACGAAGAGAGGCCAACATGTCCACTTCCTCTGCTACCATTGCAAAGCTGCAACCCCATATAGGTAGAATCCAATTCTAAACCAGAGCAGAAAATTGACGCCAATCTTTCACAACTCCTCTCTGATTGGCCCGTTTTGTATTTTGTTGGCGAAATCTAGCTTAATGGGAGAAATCTCAGATGGGGCATTGATGGGAGATGAGAATCCCACCAATTCTCTGTAGGAAAGCCAGGTTACGTCTTGAAATAAAATCCCGATTGGACTTTTCAGCAGAAAACATTCCAGATTACTTAACAGATGCGAACAGTACATATGATGGAGGATCTGTGATGCTGAGGGCCTGGGGGCTTTGGTATTCCAAACTCTTTGAAGTATAGTTGGAAATTATAGGTTAAAAAAATCAGGAGTAGCCACAGCAAACATTAACTGGGTTATAAGTGGGTGTTTTCAACCAGATAATAATCCACAGCATCTGGCTAAAAACCTAAAAGGTACACGAAACGTGGGATGATCTAAAAATTAAAAAAAAATAGACCCAGGAATGATCTTTAAGAAAAAAATAAATTTATGAAAGTCAGTTTGTGCAATAAAACATATTTCAGAGTTTTTAAAAAATCATCTTTAAAAGAAATGCCAATAAATCTCATCAGATGGTTTTGCTTCACTTTGATAAATGTTTCTCCAAACAAGTCAACACCCCCTGACATAAACAATGTAATATTAATCAAAAATGTTTCATTTGTTTACCATTTTTAACTGAATCTGTTTTAAAATGTGCAACATGCACATTTTTTAACTGGAGCAAAACATCAGCTGATTATAGCTTATAACACTGATGGTTGAATGTCAGGCCAGTTCAACCCGAAGCTGTTGAAATGCAAATGTCAGCCACATGGTGGCGCTCCAGGAGTAAGCAGCTTTTTAAATGAGGATCACGTAAATGTGGAGACGTTTTACTGAGGCATTAAGGAGCTGATTGTAGCGTCTGAATAAGAACATCAAAACTGAGTGAAAATCATTGCACTTGATGTTTGCGCTGATTGAGAAGCAGAAGAATGCCAAGTAACACAAAAACAGAATCAAATGTATTCTTTGAAGAAAAAAAAATCTAAATACAATGTAACCCTTCGAACAAAAAAGCAGAGAATCTGTAAATTAGTCTGGACTCAAACTAATCACAAATACAATAAGAAGCCACTTTGTAGGAGTTTTCTCAGCTTGTCACCGGAAAATAAAGATTTTCACTGAAAAAGACATTTAATCCATGTCTGACTGCCCTGACCCGACAGCCCTGTGAGGGAGGGGATCCAAGTGATGTTTGGAGTGTTTCTGACAGCTCACAACATTCTGTTTTAGTCTGCATCTGAAATCATTTCAGACTTTGATCTGTTTAATCTGTCTGACCTGGAGTGAAGGCGTGTCACCGATCCCCAGGGGCCCCAGTCTGGCCCTTCAAATTAATAATAAAGAAAAAAACAACAAAAAAAGCAATAGCAGCCTTGATCTGTGTGGAGGTGGCTATTGGCGGTTCTCACCGGTCTGCCTCTGCTGCTTGATGTGAAGCTTTCATCTCCACATCCATCGCTCTGGGAGACAATGAGCAGCTCCTCCCTCCATGCTTTTGAACTCACCAGGTGGGGGCAGCACCGCTAACACGAACCGAACAGGTGACCCGGGAACGAAGAGACGGGCGCGGCGCACGCTGGGTTCAGGCTCCACCCACACATTCATGGCTCTATTATAGATTAGAGAGGGCCAGACAGCTTTATGAAGAAAAGAAGGAAATGGACACGAATCCTCAAAAAATAAAAAGGATTCATCGTGTAGACGGGTCAACACCTGCGACTTTGGAATGAACCAGTCTTCCGCCTGTCCACGGTTGGGTCACAGTAGCTGCGTGACCCAACCATACCCAAAAATAGTTCTTGTTCCAGAAGTGGACTGGGATGTGAAGTAGTAGTTTATTAGGCCGTGGAAGACTCTCTGACAACAGCCTGAAAAGTGATGCTAATGCAGGAAACTGGACTTTTTAAAAGTTGAGAGGAAATCCAGCTCTTGGATTTCATTAAAAATGTTTTTAACATTCACAAAACTGTCAATATTTTGATCATGTTGAAAAAACTATTTTTTTGCAATTGTGTTTCCGTTAAATAATAAATGCAATTAAAATCAGGAATAAGCTTGTTCATGTGAAAAGTCGTCAAGCCAATAACGACTTCCTGAAGGCGGAGCATCAGAAAGACCAGGAGCTTCTTAAAGAGCCAGAGGCCCAATTTCAAGGTGTTAAATTGCCAAGTGAAATCTCTTGCGAGTCACATCTGATAAATAGCATTTTTATAATAACTGAAGATAACAATGACCTGATTCTACTATAAAATGACACAATGTGACTGGAAAATATAGAATACTGCCCCCTTTAAACTTTATGGTGCACATTAACACAAGAAAAATAAAAATAAAACACAAAGAAAAACATTGATGATATGTCCACATTTATTGTGCAGTGACTTTTATATACATCCACTTCTCTTTTTCTTTTTTTTTTTACACCTAATTTACATGACCAGTAATAAATTAATCCATTTTCTTTTAATCATCAGACTGGACACAGCAATTTTCAGAGGAGAAAACCACAATAACTCCATGTGACACGTGAGTGGCAAGGCAGTTACATGAGTGAACGTAGAGTCGACTTCTGTAGTGTTTTATCTCAAGTCGTAACGAAGTTGGAAAGACTTTTGGGAGCCATGACAGACACAGCGTTGCTTTCACAACCAGATATGAGGAAAAGACCCATCACTAGAATTGCCACAGCGAACCTCTCAGAAATTGTTTGTATCTGTTAGATATGCTTAAATGTTTAGTGTTTGTGTGTTTTAACAGAATGGCAATTCCTTTTGGCACTGTGTTTTCCGATTTACCTGACAAAACTTTGTTCAGTTAGAGGAATTTCAGTGCTTACAGCTGATGAGCACCAAGGGCCTAAAGTGCCACAATTTAACAAATATCTCAGTATGTATAGAAATGTGTCAGGTTACTACTAAAAACACAACTAAATATGTTAAATAAATTAGATTTATTTTAAAAAATGTAAAATTTCAGTATTTATTTAATATATCCTGTGCTTCAGCTTGTTATGAAAGAGTTTAAAAAGCATACATATTCATATTAGCACTAATTTACAAAAAAAAAAGGTCCTTAAGGTATCAGAAAAATGTTTTTCAGGAAGTCAACAGCCAGAACAACAAAAATGTTCTTCGCTACCAGACGGGTCAACACCTGAAATCAGTACAGTAGTTAGTTACTGTTCTTCAGTGTCTGAGCCAAATGAAAGATAGAAGGTGTCTGCGTAGTTTCACTTCCAGTAGGATCCTGAAATGACTTCTGAGCCAAACATGAAAGAAAGGCATAAAGGACTGTCCTAGTAATAACTGTAAGTGCCACATTGTTAAATCTCCAAGCTACTGCATATCTCTTCACTCTGGGGAAGGCGGCAGCTTCATGCATCTGTCTTATGTTTGTTTTTTGTTTTGCCATCCCTGCTCTCATCTGGGGTGACCAGATGACAACAGGTCGTCCATTGATGCCCCCGTTTGGTCTTCCAAATAAGCTTCAGATTATTTTGTTTCATTAACTAATTTTGGCTGACAGATGGGATCAATTTGTGATGCTCTCGGATCATAAAAAATAAAGATTTAATCCTTTTAAATACCCCCACTGTTATGTCCTATAAAGTACTAAAACAATGAAAATATTGAGACTAATTTTACTTATTTGACATTCATAGAAACTGTGGCATTTTGGACCCTTAATAATTAGGTGGGCAGTTTTTTTAACTGTCAAAATTTGAGGTTTAAACCTAAAAACACAAAAATGCCATTCGTTCTTCTTTCTTATCTGGGTGAATCAGACTTACAGCCGATTCATGTAACGCTCAGAAACGCCTTACACACGGCGTCTTCAACATTAGAGATGAGCTTTACTATTGTGCTACATACAGTACTGACCACTTACGACAGACACGAAGGTAAAATACAACTCAGCTAGTTGTGTGAGTCTTTATAAAAACTGAATCTAACGAGTTAATGTAGAAATCGTGTTTGGTGTTTACACTTTAGTGTGTGAAAAAAAAAGAAAAGAATAAAACAATAACCAGAGAGACCGGGGGCCACACACACAAAGAAACAAAAGATAAATCAAAAATTCTCATTTACACAAGAGGTTTAACTCCCTAAGCTAGCTTAAAGATAAACTGACACTAACTAGTGTGACATGCCTATGGTACACAAAAATCACATCAGCTCTAACTTCCTCATTTCCCCCCAATACAGAAACACACACACAAAAAAATATATATATTTATAGGTTACACTGATGGCTCTTGAGCACTACCCTGCTGCAGACAGCAGTCATCTACGCTATCAAAACATGCAGCTTGTGGTGAGAGTATACAGTACGATTCAGTCGCTTTTTGTTGGTGGTAAACAGTTGTGAAGAAAACCCAGTTTGTAACTTTATTACTATTATCGTCAGGAGAGAATGATTTTCATCATGGCTCTGTTTGTTCCATTTAAGCCTCTCGTGCTAGATCGATGAAGACCCGCTTGTTACAAAAAATAAGAGTTAAAAGAAATCATCACGTCATTCGGAAACATCTGGTTATTGCACGCTGGCGCTGAAATTGCAAATGGTCATGCAGAATGACAAGAGAACGCACTACGATCCAGTCACTGGAGGAGGTCACTGGAAGACTAAATTACATTGCCCGGGAGACCTACGACTACGGGAGGAGCGGGGGGTTATGATGCCCTAAGACGGCACGGAAAATTCTGTGTTTGACGACCTGTGGAGCGCTTCAGTGGGAATTCTTGTGTCGGCAGGTAAAAATATTACATCCGTGTCAAACATTCAACAATTCTGTTAAAAAAACACAAAGATGTTTGATGTGAGGGGTTTGTGCGAAGATCTACCTCACACACTACAGACTGCACACGAGAGACGGCGGTAAGGTGGAGCAAGGGGGACAGGTAGGGGTGAGGAGGGGCGCTGCTGTGATTGGACGTTGGCATTTGGCGAACAGTAGAGGGTCCTCTCGCCGGCTTACGGGGACTGAGAACCTGACCTGTAGCTCTTAAAGGTGCCAAGCAGACTCTGAACACCTTTCTTAACCCGGCGGGCCACAGAGTCAGCGGGAGGAGTGGGAAGGCAGGAGGCCAGGCTGGGGGGGCGGGCATCCAAACACTTCTGGTAGCGAAGCTGAAAAGCAAAAAACAAGTGGTGTTAAACAGGGATGTTTTCATACCTGATAGAACAGTAAACTGGGTTTGATTAGGGAGCAAAGTTGCAACATTTCAGCTGGTGTAGTTTGCTTTCACACTGCAATGTGTCAAACAAACCAAACACTGTGAGAAATCTGTTCCCCCAATCGTCTGGGGTGGCGCTGCACCAACAACTACTGAAGGAAACGACACAAATACCTCTGAAGAAGATGCCGAGCGCAACTTCCTTTTTCACCAAATATAAACTAAAATGAAGTGGTGTCAGATTTTAGCGGTTGTTGGATTTCTTTGGCTAAAGACCATGAGGCATTTCTAGTTAGCACTAGGCTATCTTGTTTGTTTTGGCTCCATTTATCCAAAATGCCTTGCGCTGTAGTCTTCTTCCTGCTTTTAGAGAAGCTTACGGTCCGCTTCGCTTTCACAAATGCTTTCAAACTGCACCAGAGTTCACTTGACCCAAACAGAGACCTAGATTTTTAGGTGCATCAGAGTTCAATTCCGCATTCACACCTTTCCAAGCGAACCAGACCACAATTGTAGTTTGATTAAAGAGGGCTATAAAACTAATTTTAGCAATTAACATTCAATGCATCAGCCTTGCTGAAATATGGAGGTGTGCACTCTTCTCAAATCTTGCACAGTGAGTTCCAGCTATTCTTTTATTCTTTCAAGGCCCAAAAATCCAAAAGGAAGTAGAACTTGTCCTATCCTACAGGCTCTCTTTCTTGCGTGACCAGTTTATTGACTAAAACTAGACCTAAACTCTGCATGTGCCATTCAATCCGATCTGATTTTTATGAACCGTTCCGTCTGTAATACGTTTGCCATGGCATTCCTTCTTCTGAGACTCACCATGCAAGCAGCCTGAACGGCCTCGCTCAGACTGGCAGCGTTGGGCTCACACCAGAACATGTGGCAGGTGAACTCCTGCGGGCCTTCAGCCATGATGAAAGCAAAGGTGTGGACGTCCTTCCCCACGCCCATGAACGACAGGAAGCGCACCCTGCACTCCGACAGGACCTCGTCATCCTGGAGGGGAGCGGCAGGATGAAATTATTTAGTCATACCACCAGGAATTAATACAAGATGTCTACTGAACACAATTAGGCCTGTTGAGATGAGACATTCTGCTGGATGATAAGTCGTCACAGTTTTTATTGAGATAAATGATTTTATTGTCTTAAAGTAATATATTGATGATTGGATAATAATGCTAATTTGTCCTCTCAAGACTAATGAACAAAGAAGACAACATTGGAAGATATTTTAAATATCCAAAATAAAATATGACAACCAAAATCAATAAATAAAATTGAAATAAAAACCATTTATAAAAACCAACAAAAACCATAAATAAAATGGATTCTTATATTTCTGTAAACAAAACTGCCCGTCAGAACATATTAATCATCAGACAGGAAGTTGTGGAGCTCATTTTTATTTATAATGCGCTTCACTGATTTATTGTGACAGGCTTAAATACAAATTCAGACTTTCATTGGGAATGCAATGAAATGAGAGCCTTAAATTAAACTCTACACTTTTAGATTTCACAGCCAGGTTAAAAATAACACAACATAAAACCCTGTCAATTTTGAAACATACAGCAGACAAACATTACAATCAATAAATAAAATCTGCTGTGGTATTAAGCAATTAATCAGAAGACAAATTAAGTCGAATTACTTATTGTTTTTATTCTGGACTTTTACGTATCTTTCAGTTCCAGCATTAAGAGCATTTCTTACGAAATTGAAAGTTTAACTTGCATTATTATGTCAATATCGATACATTACTTGAAAATGATTTCAAGATGACAATATTATTTATCTCAACAATTTCTGGGACAATTTATTATCCAGTAAAGTGTGTTACTGTGACAGGCCTGGTTGTACCTGTTTTGAAAGTATAGTGAGGGTGGCTGGTGCCACGTTGACAGAAACAGGAGTCCAGTCATTTTTATCCCTGCCAGCCATCGCAAACTCCAAGGCTTCATTCAGTATCTCCATTCCTGTCAGAAACGCACCAAGAAATATTGACTCAAATTCAACATTTATTAATAAAATTATTAAATTCTATTAATAAATGCGGATGAAGTCGCTGACTTTGCTCACCGACTGGTCTGGCCACTGGTATACAACCAAGGTAATAAACATGGAAGCGCTGGAAGAGCTCGTTTTTTGGAGCAGGAAACTCTGTTGAGGCAGAAAATATTTGTGTTACTCGATTGTCTGGGTTAATAAAACAGAAAATGTTGAAACGTTTCCATTTTACCTTCAACAGGGATGCCAAACGGTTTGCTTGGGTCAGAGTTGAGTCTGCTCACGCCTGGCTTGTTTGCCTTTCTCTCCATCATGATCTAAAGAGAAATAGTAATACTGTATATTATTTTCAGGGGGAAAATAATCTGAATGTGCTCAAATGAAATCGCAGGAAAAGCCGACCTTTGAGCACATCTCGTGCAGGCTGGTGGCGATGTTCTTGGCGGGCGAGTCGCAACGGAAAACGTGACACTTAAGCACCTGGGTGAGGTTGTCCCGAGCAACATAGGCAAAATCCCTGCAGGGAAAAATAAAAAGCTTATTTTTACCCCCTGTTTCTAGTTTTACTTGTATTAACGTAAAACATGTAGAATCACACATAATAAATTTTCCAAAGAGTAATTGTTAAAATATACCTTTCCCTGTTAAGAATGAATAGAGCAGCATGAAAGAAAAAAAAATAAAACAAGACAACTGTTAGAATCCAGATGGCAGAAAGGATTAATGGGATATTTCAGCTGTACTTATACAAAACATCCAGCAGAGGGCAGCAGAAGACACATACACAGAGTTCTTTGTTTTTAATGAATAGCAAAGTGGAGACAAACCAACATAACAAAATCTACCAGTCAGAAAAATATGAACTTCAACTGAGTATATTAAATTTTATATTACTTAATATAAATATCCAATATTAATATTTCAGATTAGCCAATTGTTGGTGTTTTTTTTTTTTTTACAGATGCCAGTTTTGTTTTTTTGATGAAATTTGTGAAAAATAATTGTTCATAATTGAACAGCATATCTTATTATATAATTTAGAATTAATACATTTAAACTATTTAGTTTAGCTAACATGAAATAGATACTACATTGATAGCTATTAAATATAGGTTTAGCTACATGTACTGTACATGTACCACAGTTTCCCTGGTGAATAATCAGCCTGGTGGGTCACCAGGCTTTAGTTGCACCCCCACCAGTCTAAGAACTGTTCATTTATTTGTTTTTGTTGTTGTTGTTTTTAAGACTTTATAGTTGGTGTTAATTTCTTCCAATAACACAAAATTATTCCCTGGAAACATTTTCAAATTTTCCATCAACTTTCAATTTTTTTTTTTACTCAAAATCACGCTTGAGTTAAACGTGATTTTGACGCCAGTCTACCACCGCCGTTAGCAGGTGTTCTGGGGAAAACCCTGAATCCATTCAATACGACATCAGAAACTAAAATATGAGATGTCAGAGCGGTAAACTACACGCTGCCTTATTGCCAGGTCTGACCTTCCGTTGTCTCTGCCGACGCCCCACACACGGATGCTTCCGATTGGCTGAGAGTGAAGTAGAGTCTGGCCCAGAGGGTCGATCAGGTTCATGGTGTCGTTCTCCAGGACCATCAGCATGTCCTTACCCTGCAGGAGGTGCACATGCTCAGCATGAGGAATGACACGCAACATTTGAATTTTTTTCGTTAGAGAACGAAAAATAATTCAACTTGTAATGTTGATGATTATGGTCCTCAGAAAATTAAACCAAAATCTAAGTCCTAGAAAATCAGCAACTTGTGTATTAAAAAAAATAATGCACTCTGAAAGTTGAGTGGACGGAAAAAGTGCAGAAGCAATAGGAATAACGTCAGACTTCATAGGATTCTTAAGTAAAGTCCATTCAAGAATTTGTGGGAGCTTCACAAGACCAGGCTGGACTCAGCGCATGAATCATCAACATTTTCAAGCGTGCGGTGTGTGTTGCTGTGGCCACAGAGGAGTGATGACTCTCACCTCCCCCCAGATCCCAGCGGTGTCGTGCAGGTTGTGTTTGTGATAGGAGAGCTGCCGGATGCAGTTGTTGACGGCCACGCTGCTCTTTCCGGGCGCCAGGTCCTCCTCAGACATCTCCACCCAGCCCAGAGAACGCACGGCGAAACACTGACGGCGACAGAAACAACATGATCAACTCAGGCAGCTGAGCATTCTTAAATTCAGTTTCTGATTAAAGACTGTGGAACAGCTCACCTCTACGTGTTTATGCAGCTTTAAATGTCGGCTAAGAACACGTCTCTTTTCTCCAGTCTGTGACTGATTCTGTATCAAAGGCTAAATAATCATTGGAAATCTTAACTGTGTTTTATTTACTTTTGTTACTGTTTTACTCTTTTTTTCTTAACATTTCATGATTATGCATTTTAACAATGCATCAAGTGATGTTTTAAAATGTACAATAAAACCCCCCCAAAACTAGATATTGACATTTCTTTTCTTGCTCATAATCACGATTTTGCTTTTTTAGGCCCCAGATTAAAAAGATCTAGCTGGGAGGAAAAGTGAAAAAAATAAAATAAATAAAACTAATAATAATCCCCTTCAGGCCAGGCTAACTTCTGTTCCTGTTTTATGCATCTACAAAGAACCAAAGCATTTGCCACATTAATCCTAAGGGTTTTTCCAAACGGATTCCTTATTCACCTTGGTCTCCAGGTCTGTGCACTGTGGAGCGATCTTTTCCTCGTCTTCTGACTGGGAGCAGTTGTAACTGCAAAAACAAAAGAATCAAGAATAAATTTAAAAGAAAGTTAAGAATGGCAGCATTTAGAAGTCAATATAAAATCCTCCTGCTTACTTTAAATTGATAGATGCATAGCGTAGAGTTGCTCCTTCAAACTCTTTCAGACTCTGGTCAGATGCAGCTTCTCCCTCCTCCTGAAGACAAACATGGCAGATGATATTAGTACGTTTTGCCAAAAAGCGTAAATGACGACGACAATTTGATGCAACGCTGCAGCTCGCAGAGGAGAATTAGGGCCACGGAAAAAAGAAGAAAATAATGACCGTTTCTCAGAATTCGGACTTTAATCTTCTGAGATCAAGTCAGCATTCTGCGACGGCACACACTATAGGCAGAAGAAAAGGAGGACATTTCTGACAAAAATTTTGCTAGAATTGTCCAAAATGTTTAACGTCACGTTTAAGCTAGAAAGAAATGGGGTGTTTTGGGGGGTAGTGAGGGGAACAATTTCAAAATTTTAGTTATCTGGCAAATTTTCAACTTTTCAAAGTGAGAAATTTTCTAATATTTCCTCAAAAATTTCTGAGATATTTTGGCAGAAATGTCTTTTTTTTTTTCAACAATGAGTTAAAGGCAGAATTGTTTTGTTTTCCCCAGTGAGTCTAATCCTCTTCTGTATAATTTCATAGGAAGACCATAAGAGGTGACCCAGTTAAATGGCATTGTTTCCAAGCCTTTCACTAGCTCCAGTATCTGCCTGGACAATGCCAAATCACTGTTGAATTAAATGCAGTTTATAGGCAGTGAGGTGGAACATGAAATAACATGAAGTATCTATCAATCCCTCCAGGAAGTTCAAATCGCAAATTCACTCATTTGCAAATTTTGTGCAAACATGTAACTTTCACCAACCATCTCAACCTTTTCCCCAAATCTGACCAATCGCATGAACGTTTTCCATATTCTGGTCAAAATTCGGCCGAATTTTGACCAATCCTGAGGCTCGTTCTTGCTTAAGTTCCTGTTTCATGACATCTCCTGAGAACCAGCTAGCTTTAGCAAACAGTGTGAGTGGGGTCAAGCTGCTGCATTCAGATAATGCTAGCTAAATAATGAATCCACGGCAGTTTAACATATTGAGCTTGTTGACAAGAATACTAATATTGTTGTTACATACTGTAAGTCCCCGACTATGCCAGAAATAAGCTCAATCCTCTTTTATTTCTGGACAGAAATACTTACTTTTCACATATTTAAAAGGAATCTTTATTCCAGCAACAGAACAAGCAAAGAATCAGGGAGGAATCCAGATTTTGACAAAAATAAAGTAAAAAAAAAAAATTTAAATAAAAAATAGTAACTTTGATTACAACTCCTTAAAAAAAGCTGCCATAAAGTGAGTCATTTTAGTCATCAGCAATCCCAAAAAACATTGCAACATCCTAGAGGGACTGAACTCCACATCTCCTTTCACAGCAATGAAAAGGTGAAAAAATGTAAACACATAAGATGCTGTTTCTCCAGGAAATAAAGCAGTTAAGAGTAGTGAGTGTGACATTATCTAACCTTCCACAGTTCCCCGTCATCACCACCATCATCTGTGCTGGAAAGCTGAGCCCAGGTTTCCTACAGAACAGAGTTTTTTTCTATAAAATATCTGATTGCATTTCTGAGCCACCCGTCGCTAAGCCAGGGGTTTGGCTGCCCTCACCTCTGGCTCCTCGCAGGGCGTGGTCTCCAGAGACATGGTGGAGGACATCATGGAGTCGCCGACCTTCCCCAGAGGTGACGGAGGCTCCCACTGGGTGGTGCCTGTGGGAATATGCCAGTAATACGTGCCTGACGTGTCGCGCACTCTCATCCACCCGGAAGGCAGGTCCGTGTCCGTCTCAAACGCGCTGGAGTCCCAGAAAGATTCTACAATTCAAAGAAAAATGCAAATAGAAATATGTCCAAAAAAAATAAAAAAGGGGGTGGAGTGGGTGAAGAAGGCTTAGAACCAACAGGAACCATTAAAATCTTTCAACAAATTTTTGAATAAATGTGATGAGAAAAATAAAAAACCTCTGGATGAACCAGTAAGGAAGAAGATTCCAATGAGCAGTTTATGATATAGATCTCAGTTTATAAAGATTTCTTCACATTAAGTGCTAAATGCAAATATTTTTGACACCAATTAAACTATGGGATGACGACTTCAAGCACTGACTACACATGCATCTTCTCTATAGAAGCTGCAGTAAATGCACCACAAAAGGCCGCTGCTATCAACTGTCTTGTGATTTTGTGACGATACCGTCGCCTGTTTGAAATTGATCCAATGTTACTTCTGTGAACGGTGCACTGATGTGTGACGGCTACGTTCTGCTTCTGTGCATGTGGCTCACTTTGGAAACCCAAACCGTTCATAGGCAAATCTGATTGCAGTTGAGTTTAGTTAGTAGCATACAAAGAAAACAAATCATATTTCAGCAAATGAAAAAAAAAGACCTGCTGTGTGAACATGGCATCATCAATGCTTTGAATTACCTCTGTTCCCATTTGGAGAACTGTCAGAGTTGTCCTGAGACAGCGAAGGCCAGCTGGGGTCTTCGTCACTCGGGGTCCCGTTCATGTTGGAGAAGAGGAGGCAGGGGTTTCTCCCTACGCCGCCGCCACCACCGCCATCCCTGTGAGACTCAACGTTACTCCGCTCTGAGGGTTTCTCTCCTCCACCACCATCTGAAGCCTCCTCCTGCCCCTCGCGGTCGTTGTCTTTCTCCTTGTCGTCTTCCTCCCGCTCCTTCTCCTTCTCCTCTTCAGACTCCAGCGCGTGGATGAGCAGCGGCTCGTTGAGGATGTTGTTGGACTCTTCCTGGCTGAGGCCGGGCGTCATGGCTGCTTTGGGGGACTTGGTCTGCTCCTCGTTTCCCTGCTGCTCTTCCTGAGTGGTGTTCTGCAGGGGGAAGTCGTCCTTGTTGCCATTCTGGTTGATGTTGCAGTTGTGGTCCTGGTCCTGCTGGTTCTCTGTGACTTTGCGCAGCTGGTTCTGGCCCTCTTTGACCCGCTTGGCGTTGTTGCAGTGGCTGCCTTCGTTCAGCTTGTTCTTCAGCTCTCCGTCCTGTTTTTGTTTGTTTACGACGTACGAGCCGTCGTCGTCGTGACCGCCCATGGTGGATTCCCTTCCAAATGGTCTGCAGGGAAACAATTCAGAGATTTCATTTACTGACAGACATCAGGCTTTGTTCTGCAGGGAATTGATGGTGGCGCACTGCAATGGCAAAATAAAAGCAGCCACACCTTCAGTTGTTTTTATATATATATATATATGCTAAAACAATGTAAAGCATATGAAATATATACGCAGCTCTGGAAAAATGAAGAGCCCACAGCACTGAACCTCATGGAAACCCCCGGGTTATTCCTCCAAATATTGATTTCTGAACTCTTCCTGGGTTCAAACATTAGTATTGATGTTTTTAAATGAATATGAACTTGCTTTCTTTGCATTATTTGAGGTCTGAAAGCCTTGCACTGAACAGCATTTTTTTTCTTATCCACTAAATTTGTTTGTGTGTGCACACAGTTCACAGAGCTATGGGCATAGACTGTGACATCCAGATAATAGATCTAATATCAAATCTACAGTGAGCTTGTTTATGAAGCTATTTTCTTGTTCAGAGATGAACGTTAAGGCTGCATTGATGCTGGTCAGAGATGCAACGACTACAGACACACAGAAGGTTTGTGCTCCAGGATCTGTGTACCATCACAGTTTCTCACACAGCTAATTCCACTCACATCAGGGAGAAAGGACAGAGCAAAACCAAAACAGATACAAGCAGAGCCTTTTTTGGTTTAGGTCATCTGATCGGTATCTCACAATGGAAAAATAAGTAAACTGAGGGCCAAATGTCAAGACATCAAAAGGATGGTCTGTTATCTGTCATGATTTTTGCGCTATTGTCTTGGTGTGTAAAATATTTCTTATACTATGTTTAAAATATTGCATGGTTATTGTTGTACCTCCACTTTCTCTTATTGCTCATCTCATGCCTGGAATGGAAGAAAGCTTCACTTCACTTACAAAACAATGTCCTGGAAAGCCGCAAATGTCAACATTTAAACAAGTGTAGTTAATATTACTGTTTACTTTTGCTCACTTTTAAGAAATATGAAGTTTAAAGTTTGTTATATTCAATTTATGTGTCCAAAAATGCCATAGTCTTTTTTTAACTGCATGCTGGTTTTTCTGACATTTATAAAAATCTCCTGATTAACTTCTGAATAAATGACAAAGGCTTTGCAAACAAACTAATTCACTTGAACATTACTAACACATTATTAAAGTGTACTCGGAAAACAGGCCTTGCGGACTTTTGTGCAGGACGGATGAAGGAATCCTGATAAAGGATTTTCTACCCTTTATATAACCGTGTTGTGATTATTAAATACCTACCCTGTCACAGACGCTGTTAAAATAGTTAAACTGGGAGCGTCTCACTTTGTGCTTTGAAGTCTGTGTCTTGTTGATATCTTAGGGGTTGGCGTTGACTGTGGTTACTTTCACTGCTGGCGTAGCTAGTCAAATCACAAACGTACTTCAGCAGTTTCACCTTCCATTTGCCAACACGACCCCTTAAAATAATACGACCGAAATGGTCAATGATAATCCACGAACATCATTTTACATTCAATATGTATGCCCTGAATGCTATATTTAGAATATATTCATGCTATCCCGATGCAAGCAACTCAGCTGGAAGTAACGGGCATCATCCGCCATCATCGCACTTTTCTTTGCTAGGCTAATGCTAGCTTCCCATTTAGCTAGCTGGCTAACGTTTGCAGAAATACGCTATTAAATGGCTACGGCTGGACTCACTTATCAAACCCGGCTTTAAGAATGTCAACTTACCGACTCCACCAAACCCTCCTGCTATCGCAATGTGGAAAACCAGGCGAGTTAACTACATATTTCCATTGGTCGTGATGGCTTGCTCGGATTCTGGGTGTTTTCACCCTGTGGGCTCTGCTAGTGATGGAGGGCGAACCTGCGTCACGGATAATCGTCACGGCCCGAGCCTACTGCCTCCCCTCCGCTCCCAGGAAGGAGGAGGGGACGACGGCTAAAGCTCGCTGCTTTTGGACATGGCATCCGCTCAATCTGTTCTCAGTGAGATAAAGCTGCCATGCATAGTTTTCCGGGAAAACATGAACATTGGACACATGTAGCACAGAAGGGAGAAATATACATTTCGTCGCAATGGGTGAAGGTTATCAAATAAATTGTAAAAACTCTATTTTTTTTTGTTTTTTTTTTCTTGTTCTTCGAATTTTTCCATGCCTCTGTAAAAAATCTGTTTCCATCCACCCATCCGAGTGTCTTGTTTTGGACTCAGCTCTTTTCAACTTTCACTGCTGTCCAAACATCAGTAATCAAAAGTCACATTTAAGTTTTTATTTTTAAATTCCCAGTTATAAAATGGGCAAAAAGGCTGAGAAAATGTAAGCAGTGAAAGTGATTATGAAAAAATGTGTTGGAATCCTATAGCTATCAAAGTGTAGTCTACTGCAGTGAAAACAAAAAAATTAAATGAACCTCTACTTGGCTGTGTAGTTTATTAGTTTATGTCATGTTAGGTAAACATTAATTCTAATTTTGGAGCGACTGAAAATGTCCACTGTGACATAATCATACATTTCTAGCACACGATCTGCATGATGTTTTTGTGCTGTCAGGGTAACCTCAATCATAGATGACACATTATATTTATTGATACAGCTCCTTTTTAATATTCTTATATATAAATACATACATTTGTCTTTCTCGTTCTTGATTTTATGATTCAGCGCAGGAAGCGAGCAGGTAGAGGCAACAAGCCATGACTTTAGGAAAAACTAGTTCCAGAGAAACAAACAAACACCAAGACTCAGTAATTTGACTTTGAAAGACATCAACTCTGCCCTTTAACGTGCCTGCGGTAGCAGTTCTTTCTAAAGTCAGTCAGAAAAATGCTGGCGTTTTTGACTCCAACAAACGGCGTCACAAACACGGCAAACTGTGGCATTTTAGGAGAGTGAAAATATTTCTGATTCAAAAAAAAAAAAAAAACTTGCAATAAGCTGTTGTCATATTGGCTGACTGCTTTTTGATTAATCAGATAAAATTGAGGGGTAGGTACTGAGATTACATGAATATAATAACATTTAAACCCAACACAAACAATCAAGTTAAAAGCTGATCCCGGGATTCATTATCAAACGTCTTTTCCCAGTGTTGGCAAAGAGGTTCGTCTGCTGAGCTGTAAACCGTTTGTCGTCAAGAAGCAATGGCCGACAGAGGTGATTTGTGTTCATGAACGCACCACGCAGCCTTCACTGAAACACAACCTTTCAGGTTCAGTCAGCTTAAATGACTCAATACTAACCTCTGACATTTGGCATGCTTGTTCTTTGCATATAGTTTCTTGACACTGCAAAAACAACCGACATTCAACTTCTCTCCCCACAAGATATGTTTTGGGTTAATCCGTTATTTCTTTAATCAGAAGCATTTACAGTGGTGATAAAAGAAAGCCTTTCTGACGGATCACCATGCTGAGCTCCACAGGTTATTTAGTGACGAGGAAAAGATTGAACTCGATCCGCATAATTACAGTTTAGAAGATGCAAAGACATACGAGGCAAACACAGTAACATAATTATTACACTGGACAAAAAAAAAAAATACAAAAGAAGGGACTTCTGCTCCAGTCATCTCAGAAAGCCGAGGCTACAGTGGAGAGGAGTGTAGCAGTAAGAGTTTAAGGCAATACTGGTAAGCACCAAAACACCGTTTCTAGACTCAGAGTCTCATCCGGTTTTAAGGTTATCCAGGGACTGAAACTGTTTGACGAAGGAGAGCGGTAAGCAGATTTTTTTTTCTTTTTTCTTTTTCACTTGTCCTGCATTTTTTCCAAAATTGGCACAATCATGTCAAATTTGGGCCTTTTAGCCGGGTCTTCGTTCATGCAGATCTTCATGAGTTTACATATGTGTGGAGAGATGCCAGGAGGGATGGTGGGCCTCAAACCTTCCAAGGCGATCTGAGATTTAACAAAACATAAAAGGTGTGTGTTTATGTCGCATTAATCAATAATAAAAAAGAAAATTGCTGAGTTCTGATTGCTGCAGACCTTCATGCCGATCTCCATGTTGGACAAATCAGCGAATGGAACTTCTCTGGTCACCAGCTCCCACAGCAGGATGGCAAAGCTCCACATGTCGGCAGAACGACGGTTAATTTCTTCAGGCTTCTTCTGCAGGGCTGACAACCACAAATACAACAAAAACAAACAAACATACAAAAACAGTAAAAGTTAACTCATAATATTTTATTTGCTAATAATGGATATTAAGGTGAATCTATTAGAATGTACATAAAAGTCAAGAAGGTGTGTGAGATTTTTGTAAATCAAAATATCTGTCATGTTTTCTTAATTTATAGTTGTGCTTAGTTAGTGTTGCATTTTTCAATGTGTAGCTATTTTTAAAGATTTGTACTTCAAGGCCACCGTAGTTGTATATGATGCATTTTCACAGGCTGCAGTCAAGAGTTTTCATGTCTGCTGTAAACATGCCCTGCTTGTTGTCACTATTCTCTAATAGCTTTATGTTTGCAAGTTGCTCATATTTCTCTGTATCTGAACGGGGAAATCAGCTCCAGATGTCATTAGGCTCTGAGTCAGAGTGTAGTTTCCTGCATCCATCGTTTCCCCCTGATCTGGTGTGGCTTCGGCTGTCGGTTTGGATCGGTCTCGTTAGAAGTGATGCTTACCCTCAGGGGCGACCCATGCAGGCGAGTACATCCTGCCGGGACACTGGAAGGAGAACTTGACATCGGCCATGCTGATCCTCGCTGTCAAGTCTTCGTCTATCTGCAAGAAAAAGAAAGAAAATGAACTGAATAGCTCTGTGATCGGACGCTGCAACATACAAGAGGCTAAGCCTTTGATAGGAAAACATTATTATTACCATTAGGGCTGATGCTTATGATTATTTTAGTTACAGATTATTCTCTGGAAAATTCTGCCGATTAATCCGATAGGGAGAAAAAGAATAAAATCGACACATTCTGCAGATTTATGCAAATTAACAAATGATTACATTTTAAAAATGATATTAAATAAATATTTGATTGAGCCAGATAATTTATAGAAAAGGATGCAGCAATACGGTGCATGGGTACTCTGTTGACTCTTCATTTCTATAAACCGATTATTCGTGATAGTAAAAGTTGCTTTAATAGAAGATTTATTGACAGAATTTGAAGCAGGTGAAGCTAAAACTGCTACTTGAAGATTTCTGGGTGATCATAGTGACGAACAAAGAAGGATTTTCATCTTAAATGTAAAATGTTTGTATTTTTTGTAAAGTTTTGGAGTATAAACACTAAAATATGCAATTTGCTGACTTACTAACACACTCATTCCAGTAAATAAGCCAGTTAAAGATGAACTGATTGCTAAATTATATTTGATTGATGATTACTTTAATAATCATTAAGGTGAATCATTTCCGCGTTACTCACCATGATACTTTTGCTGTTAAGATGATGACGAGGGATCATGGGCTCCAGCGTGTGTAAGAAGGCCATTCCGGATGCAATGTCAAGAGCAAACTTGACTGCCTGCGTCTGGTCCACCACGAAGTCTGGCAGCAGGAGGAGGAACGAGAAATTAAAGCTTTGGACTACTTTAGTCAAGCAGTAGAATGACAGGAGAAGGATGGGTTAAAAACAAAAGGGACGACAACATAATGACAACGAAAATAGATGCAAAACTCCTGCAAATGACTTGCAGTGCTTTGCAAAAGTATCCCTACTGCCTAAAACATTTACCTTTTTTTTCAGGTTGCAAGGGATTTTAAATGACAGACCAAATACCTCATAATGGTGAAGGATAATTACAGCTTATTACAGCTAGAAACTAGTGATCAGGGCCAGAATGTGGGTGGAGTGATGGACCCAGACCTGAACCTTCAGATACCCAAAGGCAGTAACAAAGTCGGCTTTCGATCACATAGAGAACATTTCTGGGATTAAAGGACTAAAGTTCCAGCCACATCAAGAAAAAAATCTATGTGTTTATCTTTAGTTGCATTGATTAACAGAAAACTACTTTTCAAACAGAAAAGTAGTGGTGAACAAATATTTTGTTCTTGGTTATGTATGCATATACTTTTTTCCGTTTCTCTGCCCCACTGATTTCTTGTTCTCTTGTCTTTTAAAACCTGCTTGAAATAAATACATAAAATGAATGCAATCATATCTTCACAGCTCTACCTTAAGAAAAAAAAAGGAAAAACTACAATCAATCCACAATGATTGCTTCTCATGTAGCAAGACAAAGCACATCAGCCCACTAAACTTAGTTTAAAAATCACTGAATGGCTCCAAAGCACATTACAGATCTGCTGTTGTTGTATCAACCCTCCAGACCTGTCAGGTCTGCTGGTTCTGGTCTGAGTCCCCAGAACCAGAACCAAACATGGAGAAGCAGCATTCATCTTCTATTAACCATTAATCTGGAACCAAGTTCCAGAAAACTGCAAAACAGTCAAAACACTAAGTTCTTCTAAACCACCACTAAAATCACACCTGTTTAAAGCTGCCTTTTTAGTCATAATAACTGGAACATTGATCAACATATTTGATCAATGTGCCATCATCGAGATCATTGACGATCTCGATGATGGCATTTGACAAAACGTAAAGTTTCATAAAAGCTGACTGTGTTGTGTTTTTATGGTATAAAGCACTTTGAACTGCCTTGTTGATAAAACCTAACTCTAATATGCATCTTTTTCTGTTTACATCCGAAAGACGCATAACTTTATACCGGTCTGTCCCTTTAACGTGCGTTCAAGTGGGTGGTTGTAAATAAAGTTCATAGTGGAAATGAAAGCCACTGCAGAGTGAAGACACGTATGGAGCCTGATCAGAGTGGAAATACTCACTGGTGCCTTCATGGAGCACTTTGTAGAGGGAGCCACAAGGCATCCAGTGTGTAATGATGATGGGGTGAGGGGCGGGAGGAGACGGACATGCTCCCAACATAGGCAGGACGTTTGGGTGGGAAAAAATCCTGGGTGGGTGAAGCCAGTGTGGGTGGGGTTGAGGGGAGACAGACACGGGGTGAACGGACAAACATTTCACATCAATATTGCTCCGAAAATGAAAACAGACACATGAGTGAGCACAGAGAAGAAATGACAGAAGTCAAAATGTTTTTAACGCAATAGAAACCTGAGTTTGGGATATTCCTCGTTAAAGTCTCTGCTCTTCCTCGGAGTCCAGTCACGAATTTTTAGCACCTTAACAGCGATTTCGTTACCTTGCCAACGCCCCTGCCACAGCTAGGCACGAGAAACAAACGGAGAGAAACATGTGGATTTAAATGTTGTCATCGGCAGAGCGAGACGTAAATAAAGCGGGAGTAAAATACACTATGATGTGAAACACCTCTCCAGAATGGTTTTCGTTTCTTTTTTCGGTGAAGGAAAGCTGCCTGTGGTCGATCCCCGCCAGCTTGTTTAAAGTACCGTTGCCTAAAAACACAAGATGAGAAAAAAAAAATGTTTATAGAAGTGAAAGCACAGACAAAAACAAATAATCAGTAAAGTTAAAATGTAGGAAGGAAAAAAAAGCCACAGGAAACTAAAAAAAAGGAAGATGGAGGCTGAAATGGAACAAGTCTTCCTTCATTCAGCACTTTTTCCAATTTAAAGGCGGTCAGCTAATAATTGGGTTGTGTGTTCCTGGGACTCACGCGGTCGGGTTCGGGTGGTGCCTTTCCAGAACGAATCCTTGAAGGGTATTTTAGCTAGGCTCTGCCCCATTTTCTCTGCCTTTTCTGGAAGAAGCAGAACCAGCAATGCCATCTTAAACCAATAAATCTATCTTTTTAAAACTTGTGACAATCCGACAAGTGTCGTCACCTCTGAGGAGTTCCCGCAGCTCAGGTTTTGCTTTATCCATAGGCGTTTCTCCATATTTGTTACAGATGCTCACCAGAGCGCTACTATTCAC